CCAATGTGGCTCATAAGCTCTTTCTTTAAAAAGCCCAAACATAATAATGCCAAGATTCCCTAAAATAAAATGGCTTACAAAGCTCTTGTAGCTGCATTTACTGCATCTCTCACGAGCTAACCATATTCTTTTGGAATTCTCACCACTCCCTAGACCTACTGTCTCTTCTCTCACTGTATGCTCGCCCTCTCACCTGCAAGTCTATACATAATGTCCTTCCTGTCAGAAACGTCTCTTCCAGGTTCAGATAAGAAATACTTTCTTCTGGGAAGTCACTGTATCACTTCCTGTGTTTTCCCATTAGCTTTTTGGCTGGCTTTCTTTTTGTTTTTTGATACAAGGTGTCACCCTTCGTCATGGGGGGGGTCTGGAACTCAGACCAGCCAGCCTCAGCTTCCCAAGTACCAATATTAAAGGTGTAGGACACCATGCCTGGCACCTGAATTTTTTGGTCTAACTTCATTACCATCTTTTGAAATACTTAGTAAAATTCTAGGGATTTTCCTTTAATATCTAGATTATGGCAATGTTTCCTTACACAATGTTCTCAAACACAGTTTAGTATCAATCCAAGAGAAATAGAGAGAAAATAGGATTGGAAACTGGCCCAAAGCCAAATACTACTCACACCAATATTTCTAATGTTATAATAAATATTCAGACCAGGTATTGTGATGTACACCCAGTACTTGGGCAGATCTCTGAGGTCAAGGCCAGCCTGATATTGATAGTGAGTTCCAGGACAGCCAGGGCTACATAGTAAGACCCCATCTCAAATAATAAGACTAATAATCCATTCATTCAAAACTTTTGGAGAAATAATAAACTAAGGTCTCTTCTACAATGAGATTCTATAACTTTTTGAACTATACAAATGCCTACTATGCACAAAACTCTATGCAAATCTCTGTGGTTGGAGAGAAGGCTTTGAGGTTAAGGGCGCTTGCTGCTCTTGCAGAGAACTGGAGTTTGGTTCCCACCACCCATATCATGAGGCTTGCAACCACCTCTAAGTTGAACCTCAGTGGATCCAATACTCTTCCCACTTACTAACACAAATACAGGCATACATAAGTAAGCAATTTAAAAAGCATCATTAATAGTCTCTTAAATTCTTCTCAGCTTCCAGTTTTTTAAGTTTATTTCAGAACTGGACATGGTGACACACAACTTTAATCCCAGCAGTCTAGATGCAGAGGCAGAGGCAGGTAAGGCCAGCCTGGTCTACATAGCAAGTTACAGGACAGCAAAGGCTATATAGAGACCTTATCTTCCCCTACCCCTCCCAAAAGAAAGGAAGGAGGAAGGGAGGGAGGGAGGAAGGGAAGAAGGGAGAGAAGAAATGTAGAGAAGTTTTGTCTGTATGAATGTCTGTGTACCATGGGCATGCTTCTAGGGCATCCCCTAGAAAGGGAGTTAAGAGACAGAAGTTAAAGGGCAAGTGGGTGCTGGGAATAAAACCCAGGTGCTTTTAACAGCAGTCAGTGCTTTAAGCACTGAGTCATTTATCCAGCCCTCCCAGCCTTTTTAAAGACAAGCTCTTTCTTACTAGGCAGCCCTTGTACTTTGGGGGGAGGGGTGTTCATGACAGGATTTCTCTATAGACTAGGCTGGCCTTGAACTCAGAGATCTACCTGCCCTGCCTCCCAGAATTAAAAGCATGCACCATCACAACCAGGTTCGTTTATCCTTATTTTTTGATTGCTAGTTTATTTTCACCTGTTTTTTGGTTTGTTGGTTATGAGGGTCTTATTCAACCCAGTGTGACCTTGAACTCACCACATACCAGAAGGCAGCAATGAACAAATGCTGAGATTACAAGTATGTGCCACTACATCTGGTTTTATTTTTTATTTGCTCTATGTCCTTTTACCTCTTAAATTATTCTAATTATATGTGTAAAATTTGTATACATGTAATGAGACAAAAGCCCAAGGTTGCTGTTAATGGAATTTCAGGGTTCAAAACATTTTCTCCCAGAATAAATCCAATACTACATTATTTTTTCATGTTTTGAGAATTAATTATGTCTGATCTCAGAGGCTAAGTAGGGTTGGACCCAGTTAGTAGTTAGGAAACTAATATGACTACAGATATTTTTAAATATGGTATAATTATAGAACATCAAGAATAGAGGATGTGGATCAATTGATAGTGCTTGCCAACTTGTACAAAGCTCTGGGTTCAAGTACCAACATGGCATAAATTAGAGGTGGTAGTACAAAACCATAATCCCAGCATTTGGGAAGTGAAGTCAGGGAGATTGGGAGTTCAAGACAACCTGCTGCATAGTGATAGATCTGAGGCCAGCCTAAGCTATACAAAACCGTGTCTCAAAACAAAAGTAACAACATTTAGTAGGACTAATTTTCTTCTCTCTTTTTTAGTGTTTTTATCACATTTAGAAAGCATACGATTGTGTGTGTGTGTGTGTGTGTGTGTGTGTGTGTGTGTGTGTGTGTGTGTGTGCCTGGTCTACATAGTAAGTTCCAGAATAGTCACTATTTCAGAGAAACCCTGACTCAAAAGACAAAATAAATAAAAGACTTCCTGCCTCAACATAATCAGGACTAATTGTACAGTACCACATTAGGGTTAATCAAGTTTCAAATAGTTCATCACAATCTTCTCAAGAGTCCTAAAATTTATCAATAGAAATTCAAAGCCTGGCTGGTATACAGCACTGGGGAAACAGGCAGAAGCAGGGAGATGTCTTTGTTCAAGGCCAGCCTAATCCACATAAGTCAGCAGTCATATGGGGAGACCCTGTCTCAAAAAAAGTGACGTGTAGCCTGGCTGACATTGTAGCTCAGAAGCAGACAGAACAGCATTTGGCATTCACTCTTCACCAACGACTTCCCCAGAAATATTTGTAACTTTTAAGGGGCTTTGAGTATAAACTCAGTGGCAGAGTGGGTACTTAACATATTCAAGACCTTGAGTTTAATTCCAACAACAAAAAATACAAGAAAAAAGAAATAAATTAACGATAGTCCAAGGAACCAGGCATAGTGGCTCATGCCTGCAAATACAGCAGCCAGAGGCTAAGGCAAGAGAATTCAGAGTTTGAAGCAGGTCTGAACTACAAAGTCAGATCCTGCCTCACAAAAGACCACTCTAAGGAATTTTTCCTACTGTAGACCTCCAGAAACCACTATGTACCAGGGGACTCCAATCTGATACAGCAACACAGGAGCTAGGCCAGAAACAAGACTGACATACAAAAAATAGTGTTAAAACAATTGAGGCTACTTATTTCAGCACATTTTGGTTTCTGTATATATATTTTCAAAATGTTGCACAAGAAATAATATAAGGTTAAAGCAACTGAGTTTCTGAATGAAACCAATTCGAAGAAGAAAATGAAGTGGTAGTAATTTACCCAAGAACCTAAAATTAAACAGTGATATCTTATACTTTCTCTAGGACACCCAGAAAAAAATTAATATTTCTCTGTCTTACTAGACTTTTCGATATAAACAACGCAGTAGTATTAACTTGTATACACAGAAATCTAATTTCTTTCCATAATGTTGGTTTGGTTAGACACTGGGAAATCCACATACTATAAGTACAATAATCTGACCACAGAGCCTAACAATATTTTCAGTTATCTTAACTTTCCACCTCAACTTTATTACAAATCCTATTTTACAAGCTTTAACATTTTCCATGTGAGAACACACACACAAAAAAAAGCAGCAACCATTTAATTATAGTTGCAGAGCAAAAATAAAACTAGCTTTAATTATAAAACTGCAAACAACATGTATTGGGTAAAATACCATGTCTTACAGATCGGACACATCAAACTCAAGAACATGAATTAGAACTATCCTCCACATCTAACACATTATTATTACAGAGAAAAGATAGCCCTACTGAGAGGGGGAACTAACTTTCTGACCTCTTTTCAAAATGACAAACTAGAACAGCAAAATCACACTCAGGCACATGGAGTACGGCTCTCTCAAATCACTCCACAGAGAACTTCATCATTTGCTCCGCCCTCTAATAACTCATGCAAAAAAAAGTTGAGCACCATCAGAGAGAAACAAGACACAACGCATTCATAGAATGGCTTAGAGCCTTCCCTCCGGGCTAAGAGAACCTGCGTCTGCCCTTCGTCGGGGTCCGAAGGGAAAGAAAACCCTAGGCCTAAGGTTTCGTGGATATTAACACCCAGAAACAGATTTCTCTGCAAGAAGTTTCTGCCGCCATCCCTATTTTATCAGCAAAGGCTCGGGCGCCATCGTCTCGATCTTTGATTTTATTATGAGGATGTGGGAAGGGCCACCCAGGATTACTCTAGGCCTTCCCCCATTAAGCTTGGGGGTCCCCCTCATTTCTATCTTACATCCTCCATCCCTAAGGTACTCCTCCGCACCCCTTGTTCCTGGCGGCAAGTCCCCCGGGATGTGCAAAGGCGCGGCAGGACCCCCTCCCCCCACCCCCCACCCCGGCCTTGCCGTTAAGACGAGAAGGCCCTCACACGCCAGGGCCACCGCCAAGGCTCCGGGGGGGGCCCAGCGAGGGGAAGGGCAGGCAGGGGCGCAGGGAGGATGACCTGGTCGGGAAGAGAGGACAACGTGAGGGGACGCACTGCACCCCTTGTCCGCGGGCCGCCGGTACCCCGAGAAGGTGAAGGAGGAAGAGGGCGGTGGCCCGGGTGCGGCCCCCCACTCCTCCCGCCCGCAGGTCCCCGGCCTCGGGGACCGCGGGCTCGGCCCATCCCCTGGTCTGGGCTGGCAGGGGGCGTGGGGGCCTGTCTGGGAACGGAGAGGAGACCGAACCGTGGGGCTAGGGGCACGCGCGGGGGAAGCTGCCTCCCGCCCGAACCGCAGACCCCGGGCGCCGTCGTCGCCTGTTCCTCAGGGGAGAGGACAGGAGCTGAGGGGAAAGCCCGAGGGAGGAAGGCATGAAGGTGAGGTGAAGCGGGGGCAGCCCCGACAGCTTCCCGATCCCCCTACTCTTCATCTCCCCGTAACCGCGTCTCTTACCGGTGATGGCCATGAACTGCTGAATTAACCCCTTCAGCGCCGACGACGCCGCGGAGCCCCCGTGCGCAGCCATCTTACCGCCGCCGCCGCCGCCGCGGAACAACAACACAGACACACACGGGCCTCCCTCCCCCACTCCGCGGCGGGCCGTGCGCAGGCGCACTGACGGCCCAACGCTCCGCCCCCTCCCGCTCGCGCGCGACTCGCGCAGGCGTAATCTCCTGCATCGCCCGGCCACCAGATGTGGTGTGACTCCCGCGTTCCTACCTGCTAGCCTCGCATTCTTTGAAACATCTAATGGCTTCTTGGAGCCCTGAAGGTATCCTAAATGCCGTGTTGGATCCCAGTGTCGGAAAGAAGCTTCAGAACTGAAATACAGAACTTCATGCTACTCACGGGGTTTCACATTTAGTAGGTATTTTTTTGGTTTTGTGTGTTTCCTAAATTCTAAAGTGTAAATTAAAAACTTAGTCAAAAATGAACCAGTCCACGGTAGACTTTAATAAATATTGCTCACACTTTTTTCTTTTTTTTTTGGTTTTTCGAGACAGGGTTTCTCTGTGTGGCTTTGGGGGGGGGGGGCCTGTCCTGGAATTAGACGAGGCTGGCCTCGAACTCACGGAGATCCGCCTGCCTCTGCCTCCAGAGTGCTGGGATTAAAGGCGTGAGCCTCCAACACCCACCATATTGTTCACTCTTTTTCTTCAACAAATGTCTTAGTATGTGTCCCCTCAGGTCATTATTATTTTCTTCAGATATGACTTTTTTTTTAAACAAAGATAGGTATACATGTAGATACGATAAAAAAAAATATATAAAAAGAACACTGGAAAATGGTCCTGAAAACATTGCTAATGGTTGCAACTAAAAAAGAGGCAATGATGAAAGAGACGTCTAGCTTAGTTTTTATCATTTATTTTTATATAGGTATGTAATTTGTATGATTCTAAATACTTATTATTTCAGTTATTATAGTATCTTTTATTCATCCCTCGGAGGCAGAGACAAGCGGATCTTGGTGAACTGGAAGCTAACCTGGTCTACAAAGCAAATTCCAGGACAGCCACAGCTACACAGAGAAATCCTGTCTCAACCCTCCCCTTAACCCCACCCCAAAAGGAGTTGAAGGATGGAAAGATGGCTCCACTGTTAAGAGCACTTGTTGTTTTTGCAGAGGACCCAGATTTAGTTCCAGCAATTGCAGTGCAGCTCACAGCTGTCTGTAACTCCAGTCACAGAAGATCTGACAGCTCCCTTGGGCACCAAACACATGTGGTACACAAATATTTCATTCCAATCAGAACACCCACACATATCAAATAAAAATTATTTATTTATTTATCATGTGCACAGTGCTCTGTCTGCATGTATGCTGCAGACCAGAAGAGGGCACCAGATCTCATTACAGATGGTTGTGAGCCACCATGTGGTTCCTGATTGAACTCAACCTCTGGAAGAGCAGCCAGTTCTCTTAACCTCTGAGCTATCTCTCCAGCCCCAAAAGAAATTATTTTAAAAAGTAGAAGAAGAAGAAAAAAACACACAATGTAATTGGATGGTCCTAAGTTGTAGATCAAAAAGCCAAAACAATACAGAGAAACCCTGTCTCAAAAAACAAAAAAGTCCAGATCAAAGCTGGGCAATGGTGTCTCTGCCTTTAGTCCCAGCACTCAGAAGGCAGAGGCAGATGGATCCTGAGTTTGAGGCCAACCTGGTCTACAGAGTGAGTTCCAGGCCAGGAGGGGAAAAAACAAAAACACATAGGGAAGGCAGGCAGAGAAGATGAAAAGGAGAGTAAAGTGGACACAAATAAGCTAACAAGATTGGGAGATGGAACATAGCAAAAGTGCAAAAATAAATTCCAGAAATAAAGATTTTTGTTATCAAGGCCAGGGAAGTGGTTCAGTATAAAGGCATGTGGCCAAGCCCTGGCCAGTCTTTCTCATTAGGTCCAGTGTTACCACCATCAGAAACAAATATTAGGGTCCAGTGGAAGGGAGTATTCACAAGACTCTTGTGAATTTGATTTGACCCCAGCACTTTCCAGAAAGTGGAGAAAGCATTCAGTTTAGGCATTCAGCTGTTGGGAACATTGTGTGTTATGTCAGGAAAACCCATCGCAGAGGCTCAAAACAGCAGGGAAAATGAGGGGAGGGTTTATGCACAGTGCTGCCTGGCTTCAGCTCCACTGACTCTGAAGACACGCCCTTGTCTGCATGAATGTTGTCCCAGGCTGATGGCAAAGTGGCTGTGACACTTTAGAAGTGCCTCGGGCCGAGGAAGAAGCGCCATCCTCCTGCTAAGAAAGGGACCATTTTCAAGAAGTCTCTTTGGAGGTTTTCCTTCAGAACCCATTGGTTTGAACTGAGTTACAATTCCCTTGCTAACCCAGTCCCTATGCCAAGGGGTGGGGGGAGAAACGGAACTGGTTTAGTATAGCATATGGCTTTGTGGAGGAAGGTGCTTTCAAGCTCCAGAATGTGGTACTTGAAAAGGAGAAAAGAGGAGGAGGAATTGATGTTAAACTCTTCTCCATTCATAAAACTTCTGTGGACATGATGAAATGCTCCCCCCACTTCCCTTCATTCTGGTTCTCCTTCTGAGTAAGTTTTTCCGGGTTCTTCTATACGAGGAACACAGTCACTAGAAACTTGCACCTCTCAATATGAAATTTAAAAATTGATATTGTGCAGTTAAGAGCACTAGTTGGTCTTCTAGAAGACCCAGGTTCAATTCCCACACCCATGTGGGAGCTCACAGCAGTCTATAATACCAACACCAGGGGATCCAATAACTGGCCTCCTCGGGCACTTTGTACAGGTGGTACACAGAAATAGGCAGAGGGAAAACATACACATAAAATAAAGGTTAAAAACATTTAAAATGATATTGTGAAGATTGTCAGAATTAAAATAAAGGCACTTTTGTTTAATCCTTCATAAGGAATAAAAGCTGAGAATCCCATTTGCATAGGTTGGAGAGCAAGAAGTATTCACAGAAGACTTCTGGAAGCATAGCCTTACACAAAGGCCATTGTACCTTTCAATTAATACCCCAGTGAGGATGCTGGCCCAGCACCTGTCTATTCAGTCTCAGACTGAAGCCATCACGCAATAGACACTTGTTGCCAGTGGCTATAGTCTCAGAGTATTTCATGTACTCCTTTGAATTTCACATTTATATATTCCTCTTGTTGCAAGCATTGTGGCACAAAAATGAAATCCCAGGAAGCTGAGGCAGGAGGATTACTAGTTCCATGCCAACCTGGAATTATATACCAAGATCCTGATTCATAAATAAAACTCTCCTTGACTCACCCATTTTGAATACACCTGTACTTTACTATGGCATGTATTTGTACACTGCAATGCTCTTCTCTAGCCCCAGCTGGGCGTTGGTGGCACACACCTTTAATCCCAGCACTTGGGAGGCAGAGGCAGGCGAATCTCTGTGAGTTTGAGCCCAGCCTGGTCTACAGAGCTAGTTCCAGAACAGTCTCCAAAGCCACAGAGAAACCCTGTCTTGAAAAAAAAAAAAAACCAAACAAACTATATATATATCTGTCTTCAAGAATTACAATTAAAGCTACTTTAGTGCCACATACAAGTATCTGTATTAACACATCTATCTCATTGCTCTGGAGGAAAACAGTGAGATAAAGAAATACTGGTTTATATAGTGAGTTTATGTTTGATTTTACGAGAAGCCAGAAAACATGGGACTAGACAGATATCTCGGCAGTTAAGAGCACTTGCTGCTTTGCAGAGGAGCTAGATTTAGTTCCCAGCATCCACATGGTGGGCCACAACCATTCATAACCCCAGTCCCAGGGGATCCAATTCTGACCTCTGAGAGCACCAGGAACACATATTATACACAAAAAATGCACGCAAGCAAAACAGTCCAATGCATCAAACAAAATGTTTAAATTTTTTTTAAAGAAGCCAGAAAACTTTCTTGAGATTTTTAAATTTCAGTTATGGGAGGCTAATTGGCAGTCATCATTTTAACCAGCTGATGACAATTAACATTACTGAAATTAGGACAATTTAGGCCGGCATGGTGGTGCAAGCTGTGACCCCAGGTGCTCCAGAGGCTGTGGCACATGCCTTTAATTACAAGAGCTGGTTCCAGCAAAGCCACAGGAAAAACAAACAAAAAAAGATAAACTTTTGTTATTGTTGTTGTTGTTTTAGAGAGAGCTAGGGATTTGTTTTCCTCACATGAGCAAGACCCTGATTCAATTCCTAATTACACATTGAGAAAAAGGAATTCTTAATGCAATGTGTTAGGAAGTGCCAAGTAGCATCTGTGACATATTTGTGGCAAAATCTTTACCAGTTAAACTAACGAGTTCTACTTTTCAAACTAGAATAAATATGAGGATAGGGATAAATTAAAGGATGCTATGAGGACTCACCTAAGACAGTGCAGAAGATTTGCAGTTTGAAGATGGCTGGTCACTTAAAACAGTCTGTGTTGAGCATAGTGACATGTCTGTAATCCTAGCACACAGAGGCCAATGCAAAAGGATTGTGCATGGGTTTTGATCTTTATCCAAATGACTCTCCTAACAATACTTCCCAAACAGTTACACCACCTGTGGACAAGCTTTCAAATATGCAGGCCTGTGGAGGCCATTCTCATTCAAACCACCATAAAATGTAATGATTTTTTAAAAAGTATTTATTCTCATGGATAGCAATAGGATGTTTTATTGCAAAGCCTTTAGTAAACAGTTAAATGTCCCCTTTTGCTAAGCCAGTTGTCACCTCCAAGAGGCCATGGACAGAACAGATGAGTTGTGAGGAGGTAGGCTGGTTTTGTGGGACTCTAGAGACAGATGAGTCCCCCAGCACTAATATGAGATGGCTATTTCTTGTTTTAACAAGTTGCTTTCAGTGTGGGTACTGACAACACCATTATCTCATCTGGTTGGTATCTGAATTTCTATTGAAGGCCTTAGGTTTGAGGGTCATGACAGGAAAGGTTCTTGAACTTTGGCTGTGGGACCAGGCACCACTTAGCTCCATGGGCTCCAGTGGGGATCAGGCTTGCTATCACCCACGTGACTACATCGTTGTTTTCATACCTGGATCTCCTCAGGAACCAGAACCCTTAAGGGAGATTCTGAAGAGTTGATTTCCCC